ACCTTAGGAAGCATTAAAATAATCATTTCCACATTCTAAATGTCGGCGATGTTCCAATGCTTCAAAGTATCGCTATTCATGGTTGATTTTATGACTGATGAACAGACTTGGATATATACACAAACCCTAATGATACTCAGATCCTCATGTTTTTCGATGTCTCAAATTGTATTGACGTTGAGCACGCGACCAATCTTGCCAAAGTACTTTGCGGCATTTGACGTGCGCCGGGTGCTATATAAAATACAAATCTCAAAGGCCCCAGTAGGGCAATGCATAATTTCAAAAGGGCCTTTGATTCTTCCCATCTTGGCCAGTCTGGATCTCTTCAATGGCTCAATTTCAATTGAGTCATTCCGGGGCTTAATCGATACAACCGTCGCAGTACATACCGCGTCTGGGGGAAACCTTTGCCAGTTATGACCATTTTTCGCATGTTTATATCTTTGTGCTCCTTTGTATGTTACTCGCTCTACCCATTTCGATCTCCAGTCAACACGCATCCATGGGCTTAAACGTGCCGTGCCTAGTGGTCCACACATACATCCCATTCTACTGAATGGCAAATTCATTTTGATTACTCGGAAACATTCCCTTGTGCTTTACCTGGTACTACAGTACTGTACTCGGGGTTTTGCCAAGGCGTGATCCTTTTCTCTATCCGAAGGATGGGGGATGTGTTACTCGAAGAGTTGATGGGCTGAGCATACAGAGTTCTTTGAATGATACTCGCTTTGTAAAAAGCACTTTCTTCTGAGGATGTCCTCGGAGTATCTATTCCGGGACGTGAGAATCCGCTATATTTTCAGATACTTTGACAGCATGAACACCAGACTTCAGCCGTCAGCTGGATTTTGTAGACTCTCGCCAGACGATTGGATCTTATATCCTAATATGCATCTTTGGATCAAGTCTAGCATAGAGAATGAACTTGTCCAATTCTAAGCTTGAATAACGAAATTATATCTTCAAGATCATTGATATCGGCCTAGATTGCTCCATCAACTACCATGGAGTTACAGCGGCTTGTATTTATGCATTTTTCAAATAGAAAACCACTGAATTGTGATCATAGAGATCAGAAACATAAATATCCTGTCAGTCTCATCTATTATGTAGAATTCAAAAACCATCGCAATCTCTTCTTTTCCTTCACTTCACTTCCACACAGATAATAGATTACAACGAGCAAGAATCTTGACATTATACATTGATAAACATGATGTCGCAGAATTGGCGCTCTTGCCTAATAGCGTTTGCTCTTTGCCATCACAACCTCTCCTTTACTTACCTACTCAGGCTTCTAATATTTTGAGTGTTGTCTCTCTCAGCATTATGGATAACCAACCATCATCACAAGCACTCAGGTAAGGTAAAGTAGTTTCTGAAGATTCATCATTGTTATCTCCTCTTGAAGGTCATCATTTATTCTGCTGCCACGCTATCGACTAATGGTAGGATTACTTTGATATGCACAAGAGCTGGAACTTATAGTATTGGAACGAGTGCAGCGGCTGTCTCAATGCTCACAACTATTCCATGGACAGCACGGGCAGTGATTTACGAGTATTGCCATTTTCCACCTTTGAGCTTTTACTTGCGTTTCGTGTCCACGTCTTGTCGCGGTCGAAAAGTGCTATCTTGATTATTGTGACATCAGTGTTAATTTACGAATTCCTTCAAGCGGGACCACCGGCACCTTAATTGCTAGTTCAACCAACAGGTATAAATATCGAGATTGGGTATCTAGAGTTAATTTTCATAACCATTAAGGCTCTATCTTCTTATGCTACAGGATATATATACATCGACTATCCCGGCTAATTTACTTCATGTTGGAACTGTCATTGTTAGGTCCCCAATTCTTTATGTGGCTTTGATCATTTATCTCGATGATGGATCATCAGCTTATACTTCAAATATTGATGGTGTCATTTTCGACGCTTTCTCTGACTTAGGTACTATCACTTATACGATTACTGTATCGGCCTATAACTTGGTATATACTTCCACAATCTCTGAACTGGATTCAACACCTAGAACAGTAATTGTAGCAACTCCTGCACCGTATATTTCTATTTATATTACTTCGACCACTTACCCCACAATGGAAAGTCAGCTGAAACTTCAACCATCGACGGAGATATAGATATTAGGGTTCCCAGAGGCACCGTTACAACAACCACCTTTTGTTCCCACTGAAGGTGTAGTGTAGCTTTTACCTCAACGCCCATTTCAGGAACAGTTATTTTTGCATACATACATACGTTCAAAGGGCTATCACTCAAACTATATCGGAAACGCTGTTATAACCATCATAGCTTCATCTGGTATCATTCTGGGTATCATTATCGTTATAGTGTCTACCCCCTCCTGATATAAACTGCAATAATATCGGGGTACAGTTTGCGGCTTTGGAGGAGATCCCTCATATTATTAATTCTGATGGAAGATATGCGAAGCGAAGTTTGACCTAACAATCTACAAGACACAGATTGCAGAAATCACTGGAAACACCACTGTCGTCAGTTACAGCATCACTACTTTTACAAACACCGCAGTATCCGTTTACAGCAGTTCCCAAAAACTTAATGACTTCTACCTAGGTAGTCAGTGATAACCGTGGATATTTCTTCGCCCAGATGAATGGTACCTATACTTTCACAACCAGCTCAGCCAATGATATCGTCTTCTAGATTATCGCCAACGCATACTCTGTCTATACATATGCTAATGCGAATCTAGTTGCAAAATTGAGTTATCCAGGCCAGATATTCTCAATTCATCCGGTCGAAGGAGAATACTAACTACCCAACGAGATTCGTGTGGGCAAATGGTAACGGACCTACCTGGTCAATTTACTTCTCGGTTATGGCTCCTGATAGAACTACGATTTTGGATGGTAATATAATATGGTCGCTAGCTAGCCCTTAGGTTGTGCAATTCTCTTGTGATGGTATTTCGGCACCGGGGTATCCTGCTTGGGGTTCTGATAGTTGAGTGTTAGTTGGATTTTAGATTGATGTTTTCGGGGTTTGGATGGGTGCATTTGAAAACTTATGGTTTGTGAATGTGAAAACCAGGGCGGATCTGGAGATTAGATCTTGATCTTGATTTTGATGGGATGAAATATCAATAATTTTATGAAGATTAATGCATGTAATCCTTTTCGTTATGTAGTTCTTGTAGGGATAAATTTTGAATACTCTATTGTTCCTACTGATTTTATTGGTGTGCGGAGAGGACGAAATCGTTTGAAGTAAATGTTACTTCTTTATCCCACTTCAGATGATTCCGTACACTTCTAATTTCCAGGATACTCCGTTCATTTGCCTCTTTCCTCAAACTGATATCAGACAAACCATACCAGACTTCATCATAATATGGAGGTTGCCAGGGAGTGTTGCGCACGGACCATAAATGGCCATCCTGTCCCATCTGTCCGATTATCATTGATACCTACCTAGGTATATATCTTAAACATATATCTTAAACATCAATACCAGACTTCAATTCGTTATGCTCGAGTGCTTTCTTATCATTTTATTATTATCAGTATCCGCATGCTTATATCGATGGTGCTGGTCGTTGACAATCTAGAGACGTGGCATCGTTTACACCCTTCCACTCGATATCGACACGTTCTAACAAAACAATCAACAATCAACAATGAACAATGACTTTACACACCTAAGCAACAACAATTAACATCGACTTTATGTTACTGTAACGAAATGAGGACGATAACATCCGTAATATCAGGTAACACAAATTGAATATACGATACTCTACCATGCCAATGTCCACTGTTCGCCTGACTAGCGCCATCCGCGAGGTCAATAGTAACCAGATGAATGGTTGCTATATTGAACTTACCTGGGAGTCTATAAAGCTATTGGCATGAATTGAAGTAATCTCGTGGATTGGGGAAACAGGAAGGTATACAAGTGTTATACCAGTTCTCACAAGTTCACCTCACCTCACCTCTCCATCATGATCTATCATCTATCTGTTCAGTTGCTCCTTTATTGACGGCGAATACCCCACATCAAGTAGAGTGGGTCTCTAGACAGTGAGCACTGGGCATACTGTATCGTTCGTATCCACCAGACATCGACGAACTGGATGCATGCCGAAAGATCGATATGTAATATAAAGTACTGGTAGCCGATGGAGTTTCTGGGATGGGAGCTGATCAGAAGTTCAGAACACTCATTGAATGCCGAAGAGGTAATGAATGTTTCTTTCTCACAATTGAGCCCTGTTAGTCTCTCGTCCTCTTTCACATGGGTGATATCGGAGAGCTCGGACGATCCACATCCAACCATGAATTGTCTGCTCCCCACCCTTTCCCAAGCTCGATGAATATCTGAATTACCACTGCCTCCTCCATCAATAACAGGCCGGATGGTGTAGTTGGTTATCACGTGTCCTTAACAATTAACAACTGTTAAATACGGACAAGGTCCTGGGATCGTGCCCCAGTCTGGTCATCCATTTTGTCATTTTTTGCTGTTTTCTATGTTGTTTGGAGGTCAACGGTCGAGGGACTACCGGTGGGAGGGGATGTTCGATAGTTTGTTGATTTTTTGTTGTTGTTTTATTGATATTTTGTTGATGTTCTGACTCCTGGGTGATTTTCTAGTAGTGGGTCACTCATGGATCACCAAGGGATGCCCTCGGATATGGGTTTCAAAAGCCGATTTCAATCCAGCTTGAGATCCTTGAAACCAGCCGAAAATTCGGGAGTTGGGCAATCTAGAAGAACATCATCGTCCTATGAGTATGGGATTTTGATAATTTTACAATCAGAAGGATTTTCAAACCAAATTGAAACACCGGAAAGGATTTTAATATCAAATTAAGATTCAGCAATGGGTTCATCGATAGAACATTCTAGTTGAAGGCAGCAAAAACTTTTATGCTTGATCAGAATGATACCAACGAAGTGATATAAAAGTAGACCTTTGGTCTCCATCGCATACAAAATCGTCAAGATTTCCCTGCTGGCGCAATGGTAGCGCGCAAGACTTCTATTAATGATCTCGAATCCATTCTAATCGTCAATGGCAGTATATCTTGAGGCTGCAGGTTCGAATCCTGCGTGGGGAGATACCCTGAGTACTGTTGGTTTGAATCCAACATTGAAATCTTTTTTTTTCGCTCCTAAATCCGATTTTTGCACGCTGCGCTTGAATAGATATATTTTGAGGTTACCTATGGTTATGATGATTTTGGTGGGGCTGATTCTTAATGTCTGTGGGTCGGTCGTAGGACTCGAAAACAGTGAACACAGACTACATGATCGATCCCCCTGATTATTATTATGGATTTGAAACCTTCTTCCGCCATGCTGTTACATTTTTGTTCTGTTCGCTACAAGCAAGGGGCTTAATTGTAGCAATATGAGAATGTACATTCGGAATAATCACCTCTTGAGGAAGTCTGAATTTTGAGGTTCTACCGTATTCGTCTTGAGACAAATCGAAGAAGATTATCATGAACCCGCCATGTGTGAGCCTGGATTCTCTCGAAGTTTCATGAAATTGTTTTACGTTACGGCTAGGTGAATACAATGATGTAGTTATTTAAAAAGGGGGGGATCAAACCAGCCTTTTGTGTAAAGTATAGTAGTTTAGCTGTGCACTTTGAACATCTTTTCGTCAATCTATTATTTTGCAATCCCCAAATATTCAAACCCCAATCAGCACCATTTCCCTCGCACCATTTCCCTCGCAATACTGGGGTTGAAGTGACTCTAAGCGGCACCATGGAGCGTGAGCGATAGGTATCTACTGTACTCAAACACAGCCGCTTGCTTGTAGTTAGACGATTTTACAAGTTAGATATAAACTTCCCTTATAGTAGAGGGCATAGATGGGAAGAAAAACGTATTCCCTTATATTCTGAACATATAACTCAAATCCAAACTCGAATTTTTGAAATCCCGAAGTAGAGATTCAAATTGAAGTAGGTATTGAAGAGTAACTCAATCCTGATTCCTAGCAAACCTCAACCCATAGAATTTCAAAACATCACAACGGACTGCACTCGACCCAACAATAATAAGTTGTGGTTCCCTGGAAAAGGTCCATGCCCCCAAAAAGTTATTTTTTCCACGCTAGACTGAAAAATTTCTTCACCCCGCCTACGCCTAACCTTGGAAGGTTCCCCACCACCTGCCAAGCAAAACCTCAACAGTCACCCACAACTCCAATATATGTCCATACAATCGGATGTCCTTCAACAATTACAACAAAGCCTGCCCGGCTAGCTCAATCGGTAGAGCGTGTGACTCTTATGATCTAATGTCTATGAGTTCTTCTGAAATCACAAGGTTGGGGGTTCGACCCCCCCGTTGGGCTCAATTCCCTTCATTATCTTTTTTGGTGTTTTTTTTTGGTATAGGTATAGGGTAGATATCTTTTTGATATTATTCTTTTGGCGTTATAGAGTTGAGAGAGAGAGAGATATCAACTTTTTGATTTCGGGGCTCGGGTCTTGGTCTTCATCTCCATGGTTGTTTTTGTGTGCTTAATTTCCACTCATTGTTGCTTGCTTCCTTGCCAGGTTTCGCTGGGTTATTTTATATAATTGTTTTGGGTACTTTGGAGGTTTTTGATTTTTGATTTTTAGTTTATTTTATTTTTGAGATTTTTGAGGCCCGGTTTTGGTGTTGGATTTATTTATTACACTACTACTGGATTAGATGAATGAATTCAGAAGCCATTGGGTAATGGAGAATCTAGATATAGATTTCTTGTTTTTTGATATGTATTATTTAGATATCTACATATATATTTAATAATACATCATCAAATTCCCCACCCTTCCAACATCCACTTTCCACATAAACACACTCCACAAATCCCATCCCACCTATCCTAGCCCAGCCAAACTCCATAAAAAAAATATAGTAAAAGATCCCGTTAATTTCCACTCATTATAATAACCCTATTCAAGAGACACAAACTCATCAATCATCACATTCATATCCGGCATGGTGTAGTGGCTAGCATTTCCGCCTCTCATTCGATGTTCTTTCTTTCTTCGTGAATAGAGCAGCAGAAAGGTCGCGGGAGACCGGGGTTCAATTCCCCGTACCGGAATTTTCTTTTGGGGGGTTTTTTTTGTTTTTGGATAGTTGGGTGGTTTTTAGATGGAATGAAGGAGAGGAGAGGAGAGAGAGGAAAGATTTTATATTTTTATATTTCTTTTGGTTTTTCTTTTTGGGATTTGAATTTCTAGATTTCTAGATATCTAAATACCTAGATAGTTATATATATCTATCGATTCGAATATTTAAAAATTAAATTAAAACGATGTAACATTTTGTATTAATATCGAGATGTAGAAAAAGGATTAAGAAGTATTAAAATAAGAGAAGAGAAGAGAGGTTTAAAAGGAATAATTGAATAACTAATTTGAATTAAATTGAAATGAAATGGATGGTTAGAGAGAGGGAAGGGGGGTGTCGATGTTGATATGTACTAGGTATGTATAGAGATAGGTATGTATAGAGGTAGAGAGAAAGAGGGGAGGGGGGGGTGATAGGAGGGAGCGGAAGAAAGAGAGGGAGGGAGCGGAAGGGATGGGAATGGGGATGGGGATGAAGATTGTATATAGAAAGCTGTAATTTGTGCGGTGATGGATGTTTTTTGAGGGGGTTTTGGGGTTATGAGTGGAGTGGTGGTTTGTGTAATGAGAGGTTGTTTGAGATTGTAATGGTAAGGTTAAGGCGTACTAGATAGGTAGATAGGTATCTAGGTAGGTAGGCAAGATATCCAATCTGGAATCATATCATAAAGTTAATAATAATGGGATTTGAGAATTTTATAAAATGTTACGTAGCTCTCATTTTGCGAAATTTATATGTAATATCGATGAAATTTATACACGAAATTTCGTTATATTTGATAAAGGGAATTATGATCGGTACTCGTATCTATGTACTATGTATCTACTTAGATGGAGAGGAAGGAAAGGAAAAGGAAGATCTTGTGGAGGGAGTAGATAATTAAGGTGATATATACCTACCTGTAAGGCAAGGCTAGGTTAGGTAGGCAAGACAAGGTAGGTAAGGTACGTAGGTAGGTTTGGTCAGGGCAGGAGGTCAGGAGGTCTCTGGACTGGACGGGACAGGATGATTGGAGATCGGGTTGGGTCGAGGATTTGGGGAAGATTTTGGTTGGGACTCGGGAGTGCAAGGTTGAAGGTGTGGAAGGTGGAAAGTGGAAAGTGGAAAGTAGAAGAATCCTTGGTGAGATAGGAAGTTTGGGATTTTGGGGGTTGCGGGTTGCGGGTTGCGGGTTGGGGATGGAACTTGGGTGTGATGTGATGTGAGGTTTGATGTTTGATGTTTGATGTTGTGAAGGGAGAGGGAGTGGGATAGTGTGAGAGAGAAGGGGACTCGGGAGGGGGGTTTTCGTTTGTGATGAATGATTGATGAATTAATGAATGATGATGGTGATGAGATGAAATGGGATGGGATGAAATGAGATGAAATGATTTCCCGTTTGATATACAGATCTGATGTGGAGATCAATAATATATACTGTAATATAATAATGGTTCAACGGGTGTTAGACTTAGACTGTTAGACTGTTGGTAGGTACCTAGTGAGGGAGGGATAAGGATAAGGATAAGGATTAGAATAAGTCCACTTGGTGGAGGGGTATGGAGACTCAGGTTGGAGTACTGGGTGTATATGTATGTACGTAAGACGGGACGAGTAAGGTTGTGATGGATGGATGACATTGTATGTACAGTATGAATTACGGAGAATTGAATCGATGCGAGGGTATGATGATGGGTTTTAAGGAGAAGGAGAAGGGGGGAAGGGAGTGTGTTTTAGCTTTTATTTGCTAGGAACTGTACCGGCACTGAACATCCTTCACCGAGTTGAAGCATTGATGATATATATGTATGATTGTACATGTACCTACCAACTTGGTCTCCAATGATCTCATCTCAATTGCTCGACAATGTACATCACGCACGATAAAAGATCTAGAAGGAAGTGGAAAACACCTAGAATGAGTGAGGTGGTGGTGCATTAGCATTTGCATTTGCATTTACATTTGCATTGTGTAAAGGTAACCTACCTAGGTCCTGTTACTAACTGTATCGTAATAATGGAGAAGATATAAATACATCTCATTATCTCCTACCTACTAACTGTAAGGTCGGTAGGTGTGTTGTCTGTAGATTGGTCATGTATCTAACATTTCATATTATAAAACACTTTTATGACGCAGTGGATTGTGCACGATGTTGGAACACTATTCTGAAATATCACGTGTAGTACCTCGAAAATCCTTTAAAATTGATACACTTCTTTCCACAATAGATAAAATGAAATTAAAAAATGTAAGATTAAAGAGAATCACTTTATCTATTCAATGATATAATTTAATATGTTTGAAGATTTGTAGTTCAAAAGTTATATAGAATTGAATGTTAATGCTTTTTTGATATGTGATTGATATGATTGGTTCATTATAATCGCGTTTTTTTTTCATTTTGTTTATATCTTATCGGTGCTCATTTCCATTTTGATATGCTCTTATAAATCTATTTTTCAATGGCGACGATACTTATCAATTGTTTTTTAGAATGGTGGAAAATGAGAGGGGGGGGGTAGGGTCGGTACGTCTGCGGGGGCTTAGATTTTGTATGTATTGTATGTATATAGTTTCATTATTACTAGATTGAGTATCTGATAGTCTCCGGCAGACGAGCTGCGACGTAGGTCCCAAGGTGCCGTTCAGAAAAACAATTCGAGGAGCGCAGCGAGGCGAATTGATTTTCCGGCACCGAGGGGCCGGAGACAAAGCTTGTGGGTTAAACTGTACATCCAGTCTGTACTCTACCTGCCTAGGTAGGTTCTAATCTATCTTATCGTAGTAATCGTACGGGAGGTACTCCGTCCTGCAGGTGTAAACGAAGAATCAATGGGTCGAAATGTTCCACCTCCTACCTAGGAAGACTCAAGACCTTCTAGATCTTTTACTTGTATGCAGAATGAATGCAGTTCAACGTGTTATTTCTTATTTTTCTAATCCGAATACTGTAATGCAAATGACTTAGGTTGGGAAGTTGGGAATCCCTTCGTTTTCAAGAATATGTACCTAGTTGAGATGTGAGATGTATGTACTGTATCAATATTATCGATTCAATTTTTATGGAATTCAATAATATGTACAGTAGTAATAATGCTTCATTTGCTCCCGGTCGTGATACAGTATCTCATTTTTCATAATTATTGCGATTGGATTTATTGCTTCTGAAGATATTATTTGAAAGGTTCTGTATCAAACTTGTCTCGTAAGATATCATCTAGGTGTCATCAAAGCGTACGAATCTTTTCATCAACACCTGCATCATCTTCATACCAGGTACAGTACTCGTATTGCTCACTACTACCTGGGTAGATGCTCACTACTACCTAGGTACATACTCACTACTACCTCGTATGTAGGGGATTCATCTTTTCACCAGCCAGTACCTACAGTTAGTCAGGACTCAGTCAGTACCTTACAGAAAATGAATATATAAAATTATTACCATACTTGAGTCGAGGGAGAAGAGAAATATAGTATCCAATCATCATGATCAATTCTTCTTCTGCCGGTCTTCCAGAGCACCTATCACAGGGTTGGAGAGTGCGGTCTTCCAAGTTTGACCTCTTCAAACAACCTTCGTAACACGATTTAAAGGATCTGCCCTTGGAGAAACAGCCATTGATACGAGCAAATATTTGACACACGTACACGCACCATTACACACCTAGACTTTCCATCAATATCACATTTTGGTATGTCCACAGGTATTTGGTTATCTAATCACTTATTATGGTGGGCAGATCATCTGCATTAATACAGTAAAATTTGATAATGTTACAATTTTATTGATTTATGATTATGATCATGATTATCATTAATATTGCATTCTTTTAATTCATTTCATGTCAAAGCTGCAATGGCACGAATGACGAAAACCCCCCTTGCGAACAAACCCTTGTTTCTCTTCATCATTTTGGTACACTGGACTGGTTGGTACAAACTTCAATGGTATCCAATGTTTTATCAATTCCCCTTCACAGTTCATCCCCTCCTTCCCTTACAAGTAAAAGTACGTACGTGCGTTGCTTCAACTTGCGTGCCCCTCTTCTCCTCCGAGATATCCAATAATCCAATAATACCTCCCTTCCGTTTTATTACTCAGTCTGATTATTTCATTCTATTTCTAGATGGAATATTTTTACTGTCCAGGCACAAAAAGGCAAGACAAGTTAGACAACTTTGACAAGGAAAGGATAAGGTCAAGCTCCACAAGGTTGTTCCAGCCCAGTGTGTGTGGACACTATCGAGAGAAATTCAAACCTGACCTTGCTCGAGCCTTGGTCGTCTGTTCTAGCATTAGCAAGCAATAACAGCATTAGTATCAATATCCTAGTTCTTTCTCAATCAATTATCAGGATTTCCTTTCCAAAGCGGGTTATGCACGCATTTCAAAACCCCGTATGCGTGTATCAGAGACACATTTCACCATTTAAGAACTGGTCCATCTGCCATACCACCATTCCACCATTCCACGTCGTCGTGTCCTTTTTTGCCATCCCTCTATATCATTCTTCAAGTTTCTTAGTACAGGGTCTCGATCTTTTCCAAGTTCCACTTTCAGTCCCGTCTCGTCACTCGTTGCAAATCTCTAAACTGCATATAACTATAACTACAACTACAATATCTTAAGGCTGTGCCTAGGGATATATCACTTCAATCACTACACCTCCAACTATCAACTCTCGTTATTAGGATCTTCTACCTAAACAACAACTTCATCATCGATTCTTCACTCACTACTTGAAGAGATCTTTAATATCATTATCATTCATCCATCTCCAATCTCCACACACACACATACAAACCATCTTCAAACACTACCTCTCATAACCAACCTACCTCACCACTCTACATCACCAACCATAACCAACAACATGCGTTCATTCTCCTTCAGCAGCATCCGCGGATCTCTCCGTCGATCCTCATCTCCCTCCGGTAGTTCCGTCCACTCCCACTCCACGGGTCGAGAATCCTACACATCCCAC